AGATTTCGGGCATTCAGTGGTTGCTTTCAGCAATCTGACCTTCCTGATAGTCCTGGATTGTTTTACTCGATATGTCGTCTGACGAAACTTCCATACCCGTTGGTTTGAAGCATCTCGGATGTGTGTGCTAATGTTATCAGGGAATTTTCCACGAGGTTGTGCTAGAATCTTCATGAGAGGGCAAGAAGCCCCGAGTTATAAATATTCGATCCTGATTGGCCGATGTTCTATGGAATAACCGCGTGCCTTCGTTCGATGCGTGACCGGCTTGCGACACATCCGTCCAGTGGACGTGATGCTTTGTTATTTAGAGCACCTCCCCCTTTGTGGTTGCCATTCATTCGGCCGCCACACTTATGATGGCTCAGGGAGCGGCTGTTGTATCATCTCTGGATCAGTGAGTATGCTGATCTGCGTTCTGGTGCAGACTGCCCTGTGGAGACGTATTCTGGTTGTCGGTATTCCACGAGACGTGGTTTCATTGTGGGGCTGAATCCGCTGCCTAGTTCCAGGCTTTCCTCGCTCTCCTATGTTCTTCAACTACAGCGTATTTATTCAAATAAGTTGATCGGGTTACGTGGCTTGCTTTCACTGACAATGGTGATGACACACCATACGTTTGATAATTTCACTACACATGTGAAACTCGAAAACTGGGTCGCCTTACAAGTTACAAGCTTTAACGAAACGCGCAACCAACCCTCTGTTAACGATTGGCCATATTTCGTCCCCTAGACTTGTGATCGATTCCGTTTCTTACCGGTTAGATTCGTTAGGTGAGTCAACACTGCTTCCAGAATTGATCTCAGGCATAACTTCAGATAGAGTGGAGTTTATTCTTGTCAGCAGAGGGAAGGCGTTGCTTCTGAAATGATTGGTCAAGTGTAGAAGAGATCGTCCATGCTCATTCCCTCATCGAAAGGAGTTGGAACATTTGTGGAACGGGCAAAAGTCATACAGCTATCAGCACTGATGGCCATGTAGAGAGAGAAAGAAAAAAACGAATGATCAATCCATACGGAGTTGGTTTAATCGATAATCGCTGACAGTTTATAGACGAATTGACCAAAATTGACGAACCGCTTGTGGCAGCGATTGAAAACATTACGCAAAGCGATTACGTAATGTTTTCCTGAAGGAAACTGCTGAAAACTTTGGACAAACCACGGCCGTTTTCGTCCTTCTTAGGGCTCATCAGAGGTGCGGTCCTCGAGCTTTGCTCAACGTTTTCTTCTACTTGAACCCAAATTGGACGGAATTCACATGCCAGACTCATTTGCATACCAGTGTGGTTTTCACAGGAGACTCGGCTGAATTCCTCGTTCAACTGAATGCGCTGCACACGGGTCGCCTCCTGTCTCGGTACGCCATTCGAGAGCTCACAGTACCCGCATGATCGCTGAAAGCTCTTCGACCGCCCGCGACCGACTTCGTCCCTTTTTGCGAGGAGTTGGGGAATTACAGCAGAATAGAATGGCGTTTGAAGTTCATCCTCCCGTTTTGAAGTTCTGCTTCCATCAACTATCGAACCTCGTGGATTCGATGTGATATCAGCCAACAGTTTATTTGTAAGTGTCAGTGTGGACGAGACGACTCAAGTGGTTAGAGCGCGAATTTACTGACCGGAAGGTCCGTGGTTCGAACCCGACCTCTACGTCTCGACTTCCCCTGTCTAGGCTTGGGCAACCTGGTAGTATCCCAGCCCTTGTGCTTCCTTCGGATGGAATGGCAACTAGGCACCGAAAGGGTGTTACAGCTGATTTTCGGTGTGGACAATGAATCTTACCGTCATTGGGTTCGGATGTCCGTACTGCTTCAAACTCGAATGCCTTATTTCTTTGGAAAAATGGTTGTCCCCATAAGCAAGGAAAAGTGGTGAGGAAGCCCTTAGCAGTTCGTATTTCTTGACATCTAAAACCTGTTTTTTTTGACATTAGAACAGTTTTACGGAGGACTATCAAGTGTTATTTGTTTGCTAGCAAGCAAGTAAGCAAGTCCAACTATGTGTATCAATTTTGCATTTTTTATAATCGGGTATTAATTGCGTAGTAATGAAGTAATGAAAGTCATTCTTTGTTGGGTAGCAAATAGTTGTAGTTGGCTGCGGGATTTATTAGGATTCACACTCGCGCAATTCTTGTTTGACCAGTCCTCTTCCTGTGTGTCCGGGTGCACTTATTCTGGTGAGTCCACACCAAACGGGCTAAGCACTGGACTCGAGTTTCGATCTTATCGGCAGTGCATGTGCTGGGGTTGAACTGCCGACATGCCAGGTGAGCGTGTGACCACTACTCCATCAGCGTGCGCTGGACGCATTTGTTGAATCTTCACATCTGAACAGGTGAACAACATGTTTACGCTTGATTGATACGAGATAACGTAATATCCGGTCACGGAATACGGATATTACGTCATGCAAAAACCGATTCAAAACATGTTTAGTGAAGGTGTTATTAGAATCGAAAAATCTTTGTACCTCTGCCAAATGCAAATTAGGGAACTCGGCTACCTTACTGAGATCTCAGTAGATTTTTACAAACTCTTCTCTCCAGCAGTTCGCTCGTCCTGTGGGCAGCGTACCGATTGGTGTTACAATCCACACGTTAACTGGTGATCCAGTCATTCTCGGGAGCCCCAGTAGAGCAGTCGATTGGGATCGCCAAGTGTGTTCCGTGTGCAGGGGCTACTGGACTTTCAGAATGACCCAGTTCGACATCTAAATGACGATTCCACACGAACATCGTTGGTATACCGCTGTTTTCGACCACGAATGACGTGGATGATGCGCGCGCGTGCACTAACCTAGCTGGTGTTGTTCTGACTACACATGACACGTAAATGCAGAGCACTGATCGCCTATTTCACTTTTCACTCAAATCGAATCAGCCGTTTTGGTGTACGGGTGTAAAGCCTAGTAAAATGAACCAGTATGGCCAGGACTGGGTGCTAATGAGGTCCTGTTTACTGCCTTTTTCTGCAAGTATGAATAACGAGGCCGATCCTTTTAATGGGTTGACCGACCGGTTTTCATCTATCCAGGGGGTGGGGGTTAAATCCGATTTCTAAGAACTAACGAATTGCGCACAATGCACTCTTGGTTCATGAATCAAAGTGATTGATTTATCTGACCAAGAACTGCTTTCCGGGTGACATGGGGTCCCCTGAGTGCGCTGGTCATCTCGGATTTGTGGTCTCCATCGTTACCAAGTCGTTGTACCCAGCTCTCAGGGTGTTGTTTATTCTTTTTTTTCGAGGTTTCCTGAAGTTGCTCCTCTCCTTCGGTCCTGGCAACCTGAAAGTATCCTTCCCACTGAGTTGTGTTATTCCTTGGCAATGTAGCATCAGTAGGCTGTTGATCAGGTGGATCAATTCCCCATGCGCACCGAAGAGATCAGCTGTCACCTGATCAGCGTCCCTCCGCCTTGTACCAGGCTTCCGCTAGGTCACCCACCATGATCGATAAGTCACGAGCACGTTTCTTATTACGGTCACAAGCTCGCGCCTTAATCAATGAATTATAGCTTCTTGACTTGAACTAGATAAGTTCTTAGTCGTTGAGGGTAAAGGGCTCTCTTGCTAATTAAACCACTCTCCTGGAAACTACCACCGCAGGTGTTTTTAGATAAACTGATCAAAGTCCCTCGGTATACACTTTTCAGCCGCAAAGTGTAAGGTCATGCTCATGGCCACTGAACACGCCACTTACAATCCAGGGGAACACTGATGTCATGCTGTCGATGATGATGATGACTGCCGTTTACCCTTGACACGCAGTGTGATCTAGAATTTTCCATCCATCTATAACTACCCACCGAACATCCGGTAACCTCATCCTTTCTAGTCACCTTAGTTCCCGTCTTCTCATTATTGTTCGTCAGAATGGTGTGTCTGTCGCTTAACCGTGTCTCCGCTCTGCCTCCATCATCCCTATTCCTTGAGCTCAATGTTTTTTTATAATTTATGTGACCTCTTCCACATAGCGCATATGGAACAGTCTGTCTGCACTAGCTAGCACAGTTGTTTCGGGCAGTGCAGCCGGTACAAATCAACCCAGTTTCCAACACGACCATATGCGATCGTCACCACGTCTCTCAGGTTCCACGCAATCTTCCGCGATCCCAGAATCCAACTGGGCTGGGGACTCCAGCGGCGCCGGATCGCCAAGCACCACCCCGGGTTATGTAACCGTTGTTGATTTGGTCGCACTGCACAAACAGTTTGCTGCTTGGCGAAAACTGGAAGCAGCAACGGCCACGGTCACCTTGTCGACAGGCGCAACGCTGCATCCAGACCACACAGCTGCCCCTCAGTTTTCCTCGTCTTCCTCCGGTGGTGGGACAGCAATGTTATCTGGAACAGCCTACTTGAATGTCCACGATCACTGTAAAGCCGGTTCTGTTGTGGCTCACTTCATGGTAAGTCCTCCCAATTCCTAACCCCCGGTTGGTAACTTGTTGTAACTTGCTGAACGGTAGTGCAACTCTGTATCGGTCCCTTGGCTTCCTGCTCCGCCCACTAGGGCATATCAAAAGGCACGGTAGCTTCGGACAGCCCTTTATGGAGTCAAAGGAAAATTTTTACAACTGTATCACAGAGCGTTCCACAAGGTCGTTCCAGAATCTCCGTGAGGGGACGAGAAGCGTCGAGTCACAGGTGCTTGACTCGGATTTACTGGCAATCTGACCAATCAAGGCATGCCTTCATTTGGTCCGTGTCCTGCACGTGACACATCCGTCCAAATGATGTGGCGTTCGGTTAGTGGGTATCGGTTGGCCTCCGTACATAGCTGCCGATCGAAAATAGCCAAGTTTCAAACGTTTCTTTGTACGTCTTTATTTCCGAAACTGCATGTTAAGAAAAAATCAGGAGGAGTTCAACTGTAGCACCCTTTCGGTGCCTAGCTGCCATGTCACCCGAAGGAAGCACGAGGGCTGTGATACTGCCAGGTTGCCCAAGCCTAGATAGGGGAAGTCGAGAGGCAGAGGTCGGATTCTGACGGCTTTTGCACAAACATCATCACTGAGTAGTCTGTTCACACCACATCAGTTTGTCTAACGACACTTATCCACCACACTGATGAGCCCGAAGAGGGGCAACCTGCACCAAGGAGGCGTCAGTTTCGAGAGTGAGACACGGATACTGTGATACTGATCTCGAAACATGGGTTTGTTGTCGAGAAATACACTCATTTGCAAATCAATTTGGTTTTCAGGAGAGACTCCATTGAATCTCTCGTTTATTATATTTCACAACTGAATGTGCAGCACACAGGCCGGCTCATGTTTCAGTTGGCACGATATTCGAGATATCGCAGTATATTTTCACAAAGGAAACTACTCACAAGGTTGCTGAAAACTCTTCGACAGTCCACGACCGTTTTAGCCCTCCTTGGGGCTCATCAGGTAGGCGCAGTCCCCGAGTTAACGTCAACCGTATTTTCTAATTGATGGAAAACTCGGGGACTGCGCCTACCTGATGAGCCCGAAGAGGGGCAAAACCGGTCGTGGGCTGTCGAAGATTTTTCAGCAACCTTGTGAGCAGTTTCCTTTATGCGTTTGTTCTCTTATCCAACAACCGTTCCGACGTAGTCTATGGCTTTTTCTGCCGCTGAATGGGTTGGGTAGACGGAGTCGCCTTCGTCCTCGTTACACTGAACAGTTTTAATGGTTGATTTTTTGGTCCGATTGATACGTCTACCGACTCTGTTACTTCGCCGACTTATCAGATCGACCGATCGATTATAGACGGCCGGAATCGGTCGACTCATGTTTACACTTTTATGATCTCTCACCTGTTGAAACACGCGGCTTGACCAGTGGTGGCGAAAATCTGCACCGCCTGGTTACCAGACGATGGTGGTGGGAACAAAACGAATACAACGGCCGGTCAGTGCCCTCGCAAGAATGATTGTAACTTTGGGATCGTGATTTTCATACTCTNGACTGGCATACGCAGCACGTGGCCAAACCAAACGCAACCTGTGCAGTGTGATCAATTCATCTATCGAGGGTGAGTTATTTTCTCCCGATACCATTAGACGTACTTCAGAATTGCTGATCCGGTCTTCCCATCAGATTCGGGCAATGCTCCGAAGACATCGATGGTCAAATTCTGAAAGTCTTTTGACGTCCTCGG